TTTCTTCAGGTTTTTGTGATCCTAACAGGGGCGAGTAATCGTATAGTAGTACTCTAGGATGTGTGCATGGACGATGGCGACATAGTAGGATAGTGGGACAGTTTCACACTGAAAACCAGTTACACGCGAACTAGTGTAGAATTCAGCATCTTTTTGATATGGAGGAGGATGACATCACTGGAACCGTACAGGGGAGAAGATGAGGGACAGTGTTCTGCACACTTGCGCGAGTAGTAGGATGTTGGATTCAATGTGATGGAGTATTCATTGTAAGCATGTGCTGATGATATAACTGCGTGTGGTTCTGAGGTGGCTAGATCTACGGTATATGACACACATTAGAGGACATGTCTGTAGATGCAAGTATCAACACATGAGAGTGGTACGTATATTATGCACGTGTGAGGGGGTGGTAATGTCTACAGGATCTGTGATCAGGAAAGTCTAGATAGAAGTAGGGTATCTGCTGACAACAGTACTTGTGTTTATATGACAAAGTAGTATCACGTGAAGGCGTGAATGTCAGCTTGGATCACTGTCACAAGATGGATTATCGATATGTGAGGAGCTGTGGAGTGTATTACATGAGACAGAGTGCAATTGGGTTCTATAAAGGCATGACACTGTCTATTCTCTGAGTGCTGTCAGAGATTGTGCATAGCGAGAGATGAGCTACTAGATCAGGTACTAGGAGTTAGTCGGGAGATGGCGTGGAGTGTCTCTAGGACTTACACACACGCAGGTAGCAACTACAAACACGTAGTAGATTGATAGTGAGGTGTTATGTGTGAACAGAACTAATGGGAATGCTCTCTAGAAGATCTAGTTACCTCTGGACAGTGGTAAGATTCCTGCTGGAGGTTATGGTCTATTGGAAATGTGCTAAGAAAGGCTGAAGGAGCAGCAGTTTCTATGAAACAGTACTCGGGGACAATTGGGACAAAGTAGTGTCTTTTGAAGAGGATGGGGTGTCTGTTGGAACTGTTTAATGGGTGAGAATATGAAGAGGATGGTATCTACTTGATAAATACTTGGAGTTTTTGAAAGATGAATGTGTCTACTTAGAGCAGTACTGTCAAAATATGAAGAGGTGGTATCTACTGGCCCAGTAAGGGGAAAATCCCCGAAGATGAAGTATTTTTGGGGGGACAGTGGTGAAGTTTCCCGGGAAGTTGTTGTGTTTTTTGGGAAAATGTTCTAGGAACTCTGAAAAAGACATTTTTTACTGAAAACCAGTTTTGGGATTCCCAAAATTAGTTTTGTAATGAGAAAGAAAACTGGGGAAAATATGAAGGGAGGTTTTAAGGGAAACAGTAATGGGAATTCGGGAAGATGAATTTATCTATTGGGAGTGGTGAAGATTCCTGAAGATTTTTGTTTCTTTGGAAATGTTTAGGAAAGTTTTAAAGGGGGAACTTTTTCTAAAAAACAGTACGGGGATTCCCTAAAGTAGTTTTTAAGGGAGATAGTATGCGAAAATATAAAGGGAAAAAGATGTTACGGGGAACAGTATTGGGAAATATTGGGATGATGTACCCTTGGGAAAAGTGGTAAAAGTTTCCTGGATTTTTATTTTCTTTTTGGGAATTTTGGTGGGAAATTTTTGAATAGGCGCGGGTAAAACGACCCCGTTTGAAATACTTGAAGAAAGTGTTACGGGAAAAACATTTTTGGGAAAAAGTAGAAGAAGAGGGGGTTTTTTTGGAACAGAAATGGGAATCTTAAAGTGGGGTATTATTGGGAAAGTAGTTGGGTTTCCTGGGGGAAGTTGTATGTTTGAAAAAATGCTGGGAAAGTCGGGAAGAAGCAGTTTCTACTAAAAACAGTCGACAACACCAGAAGAAGTAGTGCTAATAAAATTTGTACTGGAAAAACCTGTGAAAGAGGGGGTGTCTACAGGAACGTAAACCCGGGGGGATTTTGGAAGTATCTTCGAGATAGGGGTGAAGATGCCTGGGGGATGATGTGTTGTTGGGTAGGGGTTTGGGAAAATGTATAAAAGGGGTTTTGGTCAGTAAAACAGTTTGGGGGCTTTTGAAGAATTTGGTGTTACTGAAATAGTGCTTTTTAGGGGGAAAAAGAAGGGGAAAGGGTGTTTAGAAGAAAAAGTATAGACGTTAGAAGGGCTGGAGGGCGGGTTTGGGGGGTTTTCCCCTAAAGGGAACGGTTTTTTTTTCCTTTAAAGTTCCCGGTCACGGAAAAGGGGTGGTTTTGTGGTTGGAAAAAGGGGCGACTTTGGGATTTGATGTTGAATCCCCTAAAAAATAAAAAAATACAGTTAGTTTTTTGTCTTTATTTATTCTTTTTTATTTTTTGGTATCATAAAAGTCCCCAAACTTTTAACCCATTTGTTCGGGAAAAAAATGAAAGCTTAAAAATTGTTTCATCTCTGGTGGTAAGCAAATGTTTTAATTTTTTGGGCATTTTTTCTGATATTTAATAGATAAATTTTTGGTTTTTAAAATGAAAAAAGGGGGACCTTTTTCCTTTTTGAAACCCCCGTTTTTAATATTGTTTTCTTTTTTATTTTTTTCTTTCAGTAAAAACTATTATTTTTTAATAAGTGATAAAACGGGAAATAATGTAAATTTTGCGGTGAAATCATACAGCAGTGGGTCACCCTTGTGGGCCAGGGTAGAACCTGAATGAACTAGAGGCAACATAATTAATACCAATACCAGTTAAAGTAACGTTTTTTGTTCTAAAAAAAAACAAAAATAAAAAACAAAAACCCACATTAAATGCTGACCATTATAAGCCCATTACGCAGATTATATGGTCTGTCCTAATCCCGTAATTGCTAGCTGTGTAGATCAACAGGCAAATGTATATTAATGATAGGGACTGACTGCCTCATCACATGACTTTTTTTCCATTTTGACTAAAGCTCCATTTTAAAAAAAACTATTCACATTCGTGATTTTCAGAAACCATTTACCTGACATTTAAATTATAACCTCTATTGCACGTATACTTTATGTGTCAAAAGTATTGGGGCGCAGACCTTTCCACGCACATGACCTTTAATGCCTCCCTGTCTTAGTCTGTAGGGTTCAATATTGAGGTTGGCCCACCCTTTCCACACACATGACCTTTAATGGCCCTCCTCCCAGTCTTAGTCAGTGCGTAGGTTCAATATTGAGTTGGCCCCGCCCTTTGCAGCTATAACAGCTTCAACTCTTCTGGGAAGCGCCGTCCACAAGGTTTAGGAGGGTGGTCTATGGGAAGGATGGGACCATTCTTCCAGAAGCACATTTGTCAGGTCAGGCACTGATGTCGGGGGGAGGAGGCCTGGCTCACAGTCTCCGCTCTAATTCAATCCCAAAAGGTGTTTCTATCTAATAAAACGGGGTTGAGGGCTGTCAGGGACTGTCAAGTTCCTCCACCCCAAACTGGCTCATCCATATCTTTATGGACCTTGCTTTGTGCACTGGTGCGCAGTCATGTTGGAACAGGAAGGGGTTCGGGAGGAGGCCATCCCAAACCCTTCCCAACAAAGTTGGGAGCATGAAATTGTCCAAAATGTCTTGGTATTGCTGATGCCTTCAGAGTTCCCTTCATTGGAATAGGGGGCCAAGCCCAACCCCTGAAAAAACAACCCCACACCATAATCCCCCCTCCGCCAAACTTTTACACTTGGCACAATGCAGTCAGGCAATGTACCGTTCTCCTGGAAACTGCCAACCAAAGACATGTCCATCGGATTGACAGAAGAAGCGTGATTGGTCACTCCAGAGAACACATCTCCTCTGCTCTAGACGTCCAGTGGCGGAGTGCTTTTACACCACGGCATCCGACGCTTTGCATTGCACTTGGGTGATGGAAGGCTTGGATGCAGCTGGATACCCATTCCATGACAGCTCTCTACACACTGTTGTTGTGCTCATCTGAAGGCCACACCATTTTGGAGGTCTTTAGCTATTGACTCTGCAGACAGTTGGCGACTTCTGCGCACTGTGCGCTTCGGCATGCGCTGACCCCGCCCTGTCATGTGACGTGGCCTACCACTTGGTGGCTGAGTTGCTGTTGTTCCCAGTTTGCTTCCACTTTGTTATAATCCCACTAACAGTTGAGCGTGGAATATTTAGTAGCCAGGAAATGTCACGGATGGACTTATTGCACAGGTGGCCACTATCACGGGACCACGCTTGGAGTCACTGAGCTCCTGAGAGCGACCCATTCTTTCACCAAATTTTGTAGTAGAAGCAGTCTGGGGGCTTGATTGTATACACCTGTGGCTATGGAGGGGATTGGAACACCTGAATCCAATGATTGGGAGGGCTGGCCCAAACTTTTGGCAATATAATGTACGTGTTACTTCTGTTTTCATAATGTCTTTTTTTTTGCCACAATTTAATTCCTTTTAATGGCAGTTTAATGTCTATGTGTATAACAGGTCTATGTATATATACAGTAACATTGGCTGTAGTTCCTATATCGTCACCACCAACTAGTTGCTGTTATAGGCTAGTTTTTCTTTTTTGAGAAAGCGTGGATTGGGGGATCTATACGATTTTATAACAATCCTAATTCTTCCACTGACCTGAGATATTGCCCAGCATTTTCGATTTGACCATCCACCTTAAAAGCCCAACGTCCCGGCAGATTCACATTGCTCGTGGATGTTATGTTTATCATAGCTGAAGTATGTGAACCAGGGACGGTATAGAAATCACTGCCATTTGCATTGTTTAATCCAGCCTGTGGGGTATAAAATCACGATATCTCCTAGTGCATAATACATGAAAACACAAGTGGAAGCAAAGATGCAATAATAGGAACGTTTAGATAAATGAACACCAGCTTTGCGTTTTTTTTTGGAAATGGGAACGTATGCGTTCTGAAGAATTTGTGACGGCTCATTTGCATTGTGTATAGTGACTGGTGATTTTTTTTTTTCACTGGATACCACAAGGGCCCATAGGAAATGATTATTTTCAGTGTGCCCTGTGCACACTATAATGTTGATATGATGTGCAGACCAGGGGCGGACTGACAACTCATGGGGCCCCCGGGCAATAGGGATCATGGGGCCCCTTTGTCCTTGCCCAAACTCAAAAAAGCCTATGAAAAAGGTCCCAGGGGCATCTCATGGGGCCCCCTACTGACCCCGGGCCCTTGGGCAGTGCCCGAGTTTCCAAATGGTCAGTCCGCCCCTGGTGCAGACCAGGGGCGAACTGACCATTCGAGCACTCAATATTCGAGCACTCGGGTCAGTCCCGGGGGCACTCAATAACCCCACACCATTATCCCCCCTTCCGCCAAACTTTACACTTGGCACAATGCAGTCAGGCCAGGGGTGGACTGACAACTCATGGGGCCCCCAGCAATAGGGGATCATGGGGCCCCTGTGTCCTTGCCCACACTCAAAAAAGCCTATAAAAAAGGTACCAGGCCCCTGTGTCCTTGCCCACACTAAAAGCACACCCAAAAAAGACAATAAAAGATACCAGGGGCACTTCATGGGGCCCCCTACTGACCCCGGGCCCAGGGGCGGACTGATCATTCGAGCACTCGGGCACTGCCCGAGGGCCCAGGGTCAGTAGGGGGCCCCATGAACTGCCCCGCCTATCTTTTATAGACTTTTTTGGGTGTGCTTTGAGTGTGGGCAAGGACACAGGGGTCCCCATGATCCCCTATTGCCCGGAGGCCTCATGAGTTGTCAGTACGCCCCTGGTGCAGACATGCTCCATATTTCCACAGTGAACCAGATGGCACCACATCTGCAATGCACTGCAGTTCAAATAAAGCCGGTGATGCTAATGGTGGATTTAAATAAAAGGTGTGGCACAGAAAAAAAAGGGTGGAGAACTAGAGACACAGATTTTGGGGGTGGAGTCTGTGAGTGCTATTGCAGTGAGGGATGACACACGTTGACCCGCCATTAGCATTTCCAGCTACCTTGCAACTACTTCTACTGTGAACACCAACATCCTCAACCTGCAGATCAGTCTGCCTAAGAGTACTTTTGAGTACCTAACATTCTGTCTTTTCCTCCAGCCCTAAGAAGGGAGACTGTGGGGCCCCTAAAATGCGTTGGATGTCTTTGCCCTGCTTCTTGTAACCAGTAGAACAATAAAGAGTTTGGGCTCCTAAGAATTTTTAATTTGTTGCTTTCTTTGACTTTTTATACTTGGATTTCTCAGCTTGGGGGAATGTGAGCAGCACAGCGGCTAAATGTTTAGCACTTCCACCTAGCTGTACTAGGGTCGTTGGTTGAAATCCCAACCACAGCACCAACAGTACAAATATAAATGGCAATAAAAACATGAGGATTTATATCTTCTTTATTCTATCCAAAGTGAAATAAAAAGCTTTGACTGGAGCTGGAATTTAAATATGGCGGCTCTCGCATTTAGTTGATGTAGATTGAGGTAAAATAATGAAGGAACATGTAAGGTATAAACAAAGCTCAAATACCCGGATCCAAAGCTCAGCATTTTAGGTTTACTGACCAGAGCCGGAGTCCCTCCAAGTCCCGTAGTGGCATCACCACCACTGGCTGTTCCGGTTGTCCATTGGATATCTGCATAGTTATAATAAAACATACGTGGAATTCCCATCAGTGATCAATACAACCTGGAACGTGTTGACCTGTAGATGGAATGGTGAAAACAAGGCGTTAAAACTGGTAGTATTTCTTTCAATATTTCTCTCAGAGAGATGGGATAAAATGAAAAAGTTGGTGGTGTTTTTCTATGAGAGAAGTGATCTAAAAAGTCAGTGTAAAAGAGGACCTTGTTTAGGGAGTTCATGTTTAGGGAATAGTGATTAATGGTTCATTCAGAATGGTCCAAGGCTATTAGTGGTGTACCCCAAGGTTCAATGTTGGAAGCCCTACTTTGTAACCTATTTATAAATAATACAGAGGTTGGGATTCAAAGTATAATTTCTGTGTTTGTGGAGGTCACCGAGCATTGTAGTGGAAAAGGGTCCCTACAAGGTGTCACTACCTTAGATTTAGACATAAGCTTTAATAAGAAGCTTTAGTGCCTGTGTGGTGCAATCTCAGTGGTCCAAGGTTATTAGTGGTGTACCCCAAGGTTCAATGTAGAAAGCCCTACTTTGTAACCTATTTAACAATGATACAGAGGTTGGGATTCAAAGTATAATTTCTGTGTTTGTAGAGGTCACCAAGCATTGTAGTGGAATAAGGTCCCTACAAGGTGTCACTACCTTAGAATCAGACATAAACTGTAATAAGAAGCTTCAGTGCCTGTGGTGCAATCTTAATGGTCCAAGGTTACTAGTGGTGTACCCCAAGGTTCAATGTTGGAAGCCCTACTTTCTAACCTATTTATAAATAATACAGAGGTTGGGATTTAAAGTATCATTTCTGTGTTTGTAGAGGTCACCAAGCATTGTGGTGGAATAAGGTCCCTACTTGGTATTACTACCTTAGAATCAGACATAAGCTTTAATAAGAAGCTTCAGTGCTTGTAGTGCAATCTCAACGGTCCAAGGTTATTAGTGGTGTACCCCAAGGTTCAATGTTGGAAGCCCTACTTTGTTCACAATGATACAGAGGTTGGGATTCAAAGTATAATTTCTTGTTTGTGGATGTCACCAAGCATTGTGGTGGAATAAGGTCCCTACAAGGTGTCACTAGCTTAGAATCAGACATAAACAATAATAAGAAGCTTTAGTGCCTGTGGTGCAATCTCAACCGTCCAAGGCTATTAGAGGTGTACCCCAAGGTTCAATGTTGGAAGCCCTACTTTCTAACCTATTTATAAATGATACAGAGGTTGGGATTCAAAGTATAATTTCTGTGTTTGTGGATGTCACCAAGCATTGTGGTGGAATAAGGTCCCTACTTGGTATTACTACCTTAGAATCAGACATTATTATTATTATTATTATACAGTATTTATAAAGCGCCAATAGTTCGCTCAGCGCTGTACATTACAAAGGGAGACAGAACATGTGACAGAACAATACCAATACAATGCAAAACATGAGGGGATCAAGGGCCCTGCTCTTTCGAGCTTACAATCTAGGAGGGAGGGGGTGGTGGCACAGGAGGAGATAGCTGTGGGGGATGGAGTGGTAGGAAGAGTGGAGGAGGTCGGCAAGTTAGCAGGGGGTGGGGTAGGCTTCCCTGAAGAGATGGATGGGTTTTCAGGGTGCGCCTAAAGGAGAGGAGAGTAGGTGATAATCTGATGGGTTGGGGCAGGGAGTTCCAGAGGATGGGTGACACCCTGGAGAAGTCCTGGAGGCGGGCATGGGAGGAGGAGACCAGGGAACTAGAGAGAAGGAGGTCTTGTGAGGAGCGGAGTGTGCGTGCTGGGCGGTACTTGGATATTAGGTCAGAGATGTAGTACGGGGCAGTATGGTGGACAGCTTTGTACGTCAGCGTTAGGATTTTGAATTTGATCCGTTGCGCAATCGGAAGCCAGTGGAGGGATTGGCAGAGGGGGGTGGCGGAGACAGAGCGGTTGGAAAGGTGAATGAGTCTGGCAGCCGTGTGTTCAGGATGGACTGAAGAGGGGATAGCCAGCGGCGCGGCAGGCCAGTGAGGAGGGAGTTGCAGTAGTCGAGTCGTGATATGATGAGGGAGTGGATGAGCTGTTTAGTGGTTTCTGGGGTAAGGAACGTGCGGATTTTGGCGATGTTGCGGAGGTGGAGTCTGCACGAGTTTGTTAAAGATTGGACTTGGGGCTGGAAGGATAGGTTGGAGTCCAGAATGACACCCAGTACTCTGGCCTGCGGGGCGGGTTTGATGGTAGCGTTGTTGGATGTGACGGAGAAATCAATGGGGGGTGGTGTCCGGGCTGGGGGGAAGACAAGAAACTCGGTTTTGGAGAGAGGTTCAATTTAAGGAAGTGGAGCGACATCCAGTCTGATATGTCGCTCAGTAGGTGTGTGATTCGGGCTGAGACCAAGGGGGTGAGGTGGGGGGTTGAGAGATAGATTTGTGTGTCGTCGGCATAGAGGTGGTAGTTGAAGCCGTGAGAGTGTATGAGTTGGCCAAGGGAGGAGGTATAGATGGAGAAGAGAAGGGGCCCGAGGACAGAGCCTTGAGGGACCCCAACAGAGAGGGGGAGTGAGGGGGAGGTGGTAGCATTATAGGTAACGCTGAAGGAGCGTTGTGACAGGTAGGATGAGAGCCAGGAGAGAGCAGAATCTCTGAGGCCGAGGGAGTGTAGTTTTTTGAGGAGGAGGGGGTGGTCGACTGTGTCGAAGGCCGCAGAGAGGTCAAGGAGTAGGAGCACTGAGTAGTGTCCATTAGCTTTGGCGGTTAGCAGGTCGTTGGAGAGTTTGAGTAAGGCAGTTTCGGTGGAGTGTAGGGGACGGAAGCCGGACTGTAGGGGATCGAGGAGGTTGTTGTCGTTGAGGTGAGAGCATAGGCGGGTGTAGACTAGGCGCTCGAGGAGTTTAGATGTAAATGGGAGCAGGGAGATGGGTCTGAGGTTGTTCGGGTCATTGGGGTCCAGGGAGGGCTTTTTAAGTATGGGGGTGATGTGTGCATGTTTCAGAGGGGAGGGGAAAGTGCCTGAGGGAGAGGGAGAGATTGAAGATGTGGGTGAGGGAGCGTAGGATGGAGGAGGAGGAAGGTCGTAGGAGTTGTGAGGGGATAGGGTCGAGGGGGCAGGTGGTGAGGCGGGCATCAGAGAGGATCTTGGAGACTTCCTCGATGGTAGTAAGGGTCAAAGGTGCGGAGTGTTGGGGGAGCTTCAGTATGAGGAATGTAGGGTGGGGGGTGGAAGAGGAGGTCAGAGCAGTGGTGGGGCCGTGGGAGAGGGGTGATGAGGGGGTAGCTGAGTGAGGGTGAAGGGGGTTGGAGAAAGTTTGAGCAGCGACGAAGTCCCTGCGGGTTATGTCGAGGGGGAGGGGGGATAAGGGGGTAGCTGTGTGAGAGGGGACAGGTTGAGAGGGCGTGTGAGTTGCGGCAATGTCCTTGCGAATTGTGTCAATTTTGTTTTTGAAGTGATTGGCAATCTCAAGGGCAGTGAGTGAGGTGCTGGGTGGAGGTGGGGGTGGAGAGAGTAGAGAGTTGAAGGCAGAGAAGAGTCGGCGAGGATTGGAGGAGAGGGCCTTGATGAGGGTCAAGAAGTAGGCCTGTTTGGCAGCATGGAGGGGGAGGAGGTGTAGGTGCGGAAGGCAGATTTGTAGCGGGTGAAGGCTTGTTTGGATTTGGTTTTGCGCCATAGTCGCTCTAGGGCACGACTTTGTCGTTTGAGGGTTTTGGTGTGATCAGTCTGCCAGGGCTGGAGCGGTCGGGGTCTGATGTTGCGTGTGGTTAAAGGCGCTAGTGAGTCAAGGGCTGTTGAGAGCGCATTGTTGTAGGCGGTCAAAGCCAAGTCGGGGCAGGACAGGGGGAGGATGCGGTCGTGGAGTTGATCAGCTGCAGAGTGGAGGGAGGCAGGGTTAAGGTTGCGGAGGTTACGGCTGGTAGTAGTGTGACATTTGGAGGGGTAGGCGTTGGAGGACGAGGAGATAGAGAAGGTGATCAGGTTGTGGTCAGAGAGAGGGAAAGGGGGT